AAGCGGATGGCTACCGAATGAGAGGTGGCTTTAGAAAACTTGTAGAAAAATTCGCAAGCCTCTTTGCGCCTCAGACAGTGGCTGGGGTCCCAGCTGGCATTCTATTCTCTCTGCCAGAGTGTCAGCCATCAACGCCTCGTCGCGGTTCTCGTGTCCTCTGAGGGTTCTACCGTTGCTCAACCGGCCCCGAGTCATGAGAAAAGTGGGTTGGTTAGACGTCGATGTCTTGACACCACGACTCTAGTCGCTCGTCATCATCCGTCGTTGCAGGACTGGCGCCAACTTGGCAGAAGTGACCTTGCAAACCAATTTCACTCCAATAGGAACTCGCTCCTTGGTCCGCCGGTATGGCGATATCACATTATGGTTCACCCTGGCGATGGCATCTCAAAGGGCTGGACTACATGGCCAATCGCGTGGAAAGGGTCGGCTTTGCCGGAGTGCATTCCTTTAGTCTGGTCGGCTCCTTCCGGGCTGTCGTCTACAAGGTTAGCCCCATAATAGCGGCAACCATGGTCTCATCGGTGACTCAAGGCCCGATGTGTCCACTTTTAGTTATTCATTTGTCCAGTCTCTTCTCTAGCCTTGTCCTGCCGAGCATACACGCTGTCGGTCGTCAGCTTGTTGGCGCAACCCTCTTCGCCATTCTCATGCTGGAGCATCATCAAAGCAGGCTCGACGATAACATAGAACGTGATGATGTGGTTAAGCAAGCATGTTTCCCACACAAATGAGGATTTCCTCTTTCTTTCCACATGGCCTACCATCCAGACCGTCACGAGTCAAGTCATTCGTCTGTTCCCTTCGAGCTATCCTTTACGTACACACACACACATACAAATGTATACACGAGCACACATACGTACATGCTTCTAGTATTCTGATTCGTTAGTTGGAATTAGTTGTAAGAATGACGCCCTACTCTGATGCTGCCGTCCATCATAGCCCGACAAAAGAATAATCAACATGTTCTCACCTAGCATTACTGGGATTGCCTCGAGGACAGCGTCAACCAGAAGGTTCCAGTAGAGCCAAGAGGAACCTGCTCTCGTCCTCTGGTGGAATCTCCTTTCGAGTCTCTTTATCACACACTCTTACTCGAAATGGAAATGAACCGAATACTATCATAAAATGCTTTGTTTGTAGCCATACCATCTAGACCATAGAAATATGTTTTAATCCTGACTTAGTCTTCTCTTATCTGTCTGAATCGCAATTTTTTACTTAGTTCCTCCGGTGTTAAATTGCATATTTACCTTGGTCTTTTACTTTATCTGATGCCAGAAATACTTTATGTATCGCGAAGTTGGTTTGTTTAATACATCTTCTGACTGACAACGTGCAGCAAGCGCAATCTACTCAAACTGGAATTCATTTTTTCATAACTTAATATAACTTCTCTTTCGAACTGTAGGTCAATTCTTATTTTTTTCAAAATCCAAAAGTCCATCTCCTCAACTCTGACAGTATCATTAGTCTAACCCGTAATACCAAGATAGAATAGATCTTGAAAAACTCTAATCGCTCGAGAACCCAGGTCATCATCCTGATTCCCCGACTGAAAATCGTACAAGTGCATTTCCCTAAGAATGAGAACATTCGTCAAAGTATATTTTTTTGCGGACTTACTTCTTTTATCAATCTATTAGGTTATTTGTATTACACTCCAAAATATAAACTTTAGTTTTTTTTAAATTATGTGGTCCCTGAGTCTTCATCCAACTTATGCGAAACTTGTCTTCCTCCTCAGCAAAAGTCGGTATCGAAAATGAAGGATACTGATTGACATAATAAACCCTTCAAAATTATTTATTCTTAAGGCAAGCATGCTATCACTATCGTATATAACACGCAGAACTAAGCCTCGAAGCTCCAAGTTGCTTCGTCTTAGTGTAATTTTCGTTTGATTTGGAAAGGTGTGTGGAAAGGTTCCATCAGAAACCACATGAGGATTGCCCTGTACTTGTGACTGCGGATTTGAGCTCAGTGAAATTTATGAAGAGTGTTTTTACACTTTTACGCCATTTATCGTGGCAGTACAGACAGGAGCCAAGCACAGAGTCGTCCTTGTCTTTAGTGGGTGCGCCAATGACTTTTTCGCACCTAATTACAATAAAAACTCCAAAGCTATCCCTCTTTGGCGCTTAGTGGGATCACGTTACTAATCCTTTCAAACCGCCTTTTCAAATGAAATATAAGTTACAACATACGAAGACCAAGATGGTGTGGCCCCCTCTGGCGCAATAACTTTGCCTACGACTTAAGCAAACTCGGAGAAAACAAGAATAGAACAAGACCAGCAAAAAGAGACGCCTGGATCAAGAAGCTATCGCTAACGGTGAGGAAAGAGTGGGTGGGGATTTTCGGCAATCAAGCGAATACGTTGTCAATGCGTTATGTCTGTTCGAATAAACCAGTACAACTTTGGGGGCCTGGCAGTCAGGGAGCTAGGCAGAGGGATACGCAAACCGTCACAGAAATTCGGCGTTATGGCCAAAATGTACTAGAAATCCACTCGGTATGTCGCATGCGACTAGAGATAGGCGTCCACAGTTTGCTCAGATAACATGGGTTTTATCAAGGAGATGACCTTTGAAGGGAAGACCTGATATCTGCAAGCATGACAATCAGAGATTTAGGCGCTGTGCTCAGTGAAGCGGCAGTTTAGTGCTTCTAGAGCCTTGAGAAATAGCGCCTGGAGTAAACCGCAAACTGGAACTGAGTGAAATCGGTCAACCAGAAAGATAAGGAACGGATCTACGGGACCATGAGGGGCATCTGGATTGGAGGCCCGAGTCGGATTAGCCAATCGAAAGAGAGGGGGTCAGGGCAAATTTGCCAAGAAAGGGCACACATTTTGACGAGTTGTGATAAAGCAGGAGTTGGATAAGAGGGTAAAGAGTTGGTAGATGGGCCAGGACAGAAAGATGAGTGATAACTTTCGGCAGAACGTTGATCGAGGGATTGACTTCACTTGTCTCTTTGACGAGTTCGTAGCCTGGTGTGGAGAATGGCAGCACTTTACTGATGATGCCGGCGAAACGTCAGAGAATGCACCAAGCCCACAGTCTGATGCTGGGAATTGTGATCACTACTATGGCAGAAGTCTTCAGACAAGCTGAGTTCTACTAAGTCGCCCTGACAACAAGACCAAGTTGTGACAGCAAGGTCAACCAACTTCTATAAGTTACAACAACTTCATTGCTATGCCGACTTTGAGATGTTATTAAATCGAATTAACGGCTTGAGAGCCGGCTCAACTGCATGTTTTCGAAGGTAGTTTCTGACCGTCCTGTGACTCTCCTCGAATCAAGCATCATTTTACCCGAGGAGTTAGTTCATAAAATTATCTGTTTTTCCCTATCAACCAACCTCATTTTACGCTGTTCCCTCAGACCTGTTCTTGCTCGCACAAAATTCTGATAGTA